TTGAAACTTTAGGGTATATGCATGCACTTCTTCCTACAAGTAACTTGTTTACTCACCCTAGTTGTTAGGATGTTTTTCAGGTACGGATACCTTGGTTTGGGATGCACAACATCCCTAGGTTACCTTGTTTATTTTGGAGTACCTTAATGTATTTTAACGAGTATGCAAGTGTAAGCATGTATCGTTTTGCCTTCTTAAGTTATAACGTATAGTTAGGCTTAATATGTTGCTTTTGCCTTGGAACTTGTAACGTGTACTTAAGTACACTTTTTGGCACTTATTTTATATGTATGATATGTGGCCATGGGTCAAACTTCATTTGGAATTACATGTATGCACTAAATGTTGAAATTTACCTTTAAAGGAAATAATATGAAACTAAGGGTTTTGATATGTCGTTTTTGCCTCGGAGTTGGCATTGTGTAAGAAAATTTACTTTTTGAAGTTCATTTAATATGTATGAGGTGTGGCCAAGGGCCAAACACCACTTTGTTTTCATTTATGCACTTTGGAATCGTATTTTGCTTTTGAAAGCAATATTACTAAACTCGAGGTTTTGGTATGTCGTTTTCAATTCGGCTTATGTAAAGTGTGCACGAGCACACTTTTTTGAACTCTTTCAATATGTATGACATGTGGCCAAGGGTCAAATGGTCTTTTGAATGCATCTATGTTCATTAGTTGGAAGTTTTGCCTTTAAATGACATTTTTCACGCTTTTGAGGTTTGATGGGTCATATTTTGCATCGGGGGTATTTTGAAGCCATGGATAATTTTAGCACGTCTTACTATCCATATTACATCTACGTGTATATTCGTTTTTGCAGAAAACCTCATCCTTAGTGAAATGAGCCTCCTTTGGACTCATTTTGCACTTTTTATGCAAAATCTGGTTTAGGGGCATTTTTGGGATTTTGCTTTGAAAAATAAATTTCAGCCTTGACATGGTCACTCAGAAAATGTGATTTTGGGGGAGGTTTTTTCACGACATTTTTCTGGAAAACGTCGTCTTGGTCTCGTAAACCTCGTTTCAAAACTGATTTTCTGGTTTAAAACATTTTTTTCAAACTTTGAAATCTTAGTACTTGGTACTATTCATTGACTTTTGCTCAAAAGTTGTGCCGGCCATTCCGAAAGTTCTAGGGGTGTTGTAGGTGTATTTTAGGGTTGCATTACCAATTTGGGTAGTTTTTGGTCCTCCCGAACACACATTTTCATCTCTTGGGCAGTAGCTTCAGCATTTGGCGTCTGAACGCAGGATCTTGTGTCCGAACGCAATGCATTGTTGGCTTGCGTTTAGACGCAGCTCCTTTGCGTTCCAACGCAATGCATTTGTGACACAGCCCTTTGCGTCCGAACGCAAGGCAAGGCAGAGGCCCCTTTGGGCAGCCTTGGCTTAGTGTTGTTTCAGTCATATCTTTTTCATCCGAACTCGGAATCAAGTGATTCTTGAGTTGATTCTTGTTCATTTTTCGTTGTCTATCCAATGGTGTGCACGGTGGCACCCATTTCAGTTTGGAATGACCATTTTTTCCTTGGTCCACTCCTTGGAAGGTTTTGAAACCTTATCTTAGGTCTTTCTTCCGCTGAGTCATGAGACTCCTCGGAAGGCCACTCTTGTGTCTTAGGGATGACATACATCTCTAGAGACTTGTTTTTGTTTTGCTTCTGCGATTTTGGATCTGTTTCGGGTTATCACAGGACGCACTGGGTTTGTAAAATCCAGGGCTGTCATAAAAATGGTTCTTAAAGAAAAATATCCCAAAAACTTAATTACACAAAGTACCCCAAAAAAAGAAAATGTTTCAGAAGAAACGATGCTTCCATACCCCTCAAAATGTAAAACAAGCTAGCATGTTTTTCTACTAAATTAAAACAGGTATAGACATCAAAATAAAATAAGGTGAATGCATGCGATACTGGAAATCAAATCCGAACTCAAAACCCTAAGGCAACGCGGAAAAAAAATAAATTAAACAATTAAATAATTAACTAAATAATTAAAAAAAATTGAATTACGAAAAATCAGACAAGGAAAAAGAAGACACGGTCTTCACATCATAAGTCTAGTAATTCCACATTTAATGTTAATACTTACTTGTGTGCATACAAATAGGTATATATTATATATTGTAGGTGTCACTTATTGATAGTTGATATGGCATATTGAAAAGTAAACATAATCCCTTAACTAAAGTTACGTGGCAGGTTGAAAAGTCAAAAGACCTTACAAAGCCTTGAGGGACCAACCCTCGAGCACCCCAAATTGAGGCCCAGCCTTCAAGCATCCCAAACCTTGGTATAGCACCAGGTTACTAAAGCCTTGAGGGCCCAACCCTCGAGCATCCCAAACCCTAGTATTGCACTAGGTTACTAAAGCCTTGAGGGCCCAAACCTCGAGCATCCCAAACTCTGGTATCGCACCATGTCACTAAGCCTTGAGGGCCCAACTCTCGAGCATCCCAAACCCTGATATCGCACCAGGTCAATAAAGCCTTGAGGGCCAACCCTCGAGCACCCCAAACCCTGGTATCACACCAGGTCACTAAGCCTTGAGAATTCAAACCTCAAGCATTCTAAACCCTAGCATCGCACTAGGTCGCTGGGACTTGAAGGTTCGACTTTCAAGTCCCTCCGAGCCTCACAACGCGTTGAGACATTAGAGCCCCAAAGAGCTCGCCCTTGGAAACCACTACATTTTTATGAGTCCAAACATGGCACGAAACGAAGGTAGGGTGGAACCTCACTCTGGGAAACTTTGAAAGATCTTGGATTAGTGGATGAGAAGTAAAGAAACGCCTCTACTCCTAGCGAGGCTCGATCAACGAGATGATGGAAATATACTGTGACAGAAAATCTTAAAATCACATTTAATGCTCTGACAACATTCGCCACAGATTTGGCCAACCGACGGCCAAATAAGAACAAAGAACATTTAATGCCTCAAATAAGGGAGATGCAACATAGTGCATGGCTCGATAAGAGGATTTGACCTCTTAGGCTCCTAGGACTATCATGACTACCCACGTGGTCATAGGTAAGAGCGAGGCACGCAACGAACTGTTGGTTAATACCTAACATGTTTCGTGGTGTATAAATAGCACTCCCTCATAAAGAAACAATAAGGCAAGAAAAGAACTGTCACCAGAACTGTATATCTTCCCTACCTCCATCTTAATCTCGTAAGATGGGTCTTCTTTTCCTCTTTCATCAAGCACCTTCTTTGCTTCCCTCATATTTGTGTTCTAGATATCACATCCATATATATTTATTTATTTATTGTGTTATGAAAAAGGACCCCTACATACATACATATATATCCCACTATCCCCAAGTATTTCTTTTTTCTTTTCTTCTTTTAACGGTGCCCCCATATATAATTATGGGGATAGTGGGTATTTCTTAACTATTCAAGCATGTAACACATATATAATTATATTTGCACATGTATTTCTCAACTTTTATAACATCAATTAGTGCAAATTTTTTTGAAAAAAAAAAACCTCAATTGAAACCCATATTATTGTACACATACACACACACATATATCTTTATAGGTAAATCACTATCATATTTTTATCCCTATTATTATTAAATAAATAAATATTATTACTATTTTATCAAATTAAGTTAATCTTTGTCTTTTTCAATTTAATATGGTAGTCAAAGAAATCTTGTTTGACGATTAAAAAAAAAAGAAGATGTTTGTCATTACAAAAGATTCAGTTTGCAAAAATAAAAAAAGAAAAAAAAAATAAATAAATAAAAAGGCGGGGTTAAAACGGGTTGACCCATTTGAACTCTTACCCATTATGACCCGTCATTGACGGGTTAAAAATGGGTTTCTGACCCATTCATACTTAACCCATTTAAAATCCGTCCAAACCACCCAATTGTCACCCTAGACTATATCCTATAAACTCACATTTTCGAGTTGTGAGTGCCACCCAAAGTTTGAACATATTCGACTACATTTACGTAAGTAGAGGATAAAAGTCATAAGAGTCGATGGCATTTCTCACTCACATAAAAATGTCGAATTTGTTCCACTTTCGAACATTTTATCATTTTTCTTACTTCAAATACGGGCAATAATTCAGTCATACCAGTATAAATAATTATTTAAGTAACAGCTGAGCACGAAAGAAAAGAAAAGAAAAGAGACGGCACTCCCGGATAAGTCCAATTTTGTCTACTTGCACAGCATCATACATGTGAGCTGAATTAGTTACTTGATTTTGTGGCTATGACTACCATCTCAACAGCGGCCCAATAATATCTCTACCTCAAGTGGATGAGCGGGTTTGAGTTTTTAAAGAGTAAAATAGTAGGCGTGTGAGTGGTATATATGATTTTCTTATCAATAATAAAAATAAATAATTTTTTTTTTTTTCAAAGTGGATGAGCGGGTTTGAGTTTTTAAAGAGTAAAATAGTAGGCGTGTGAGTGGTATATATGATTTTCTTATCAATAATAAAAATAAATAAATTTTTTTTTTTTCAGAAAAAAAAAAACACAAACAATGACCAAACTAAGTAGCATATAAAACAAGATTTAAAGGCGCAACACAGAGTAAGATATACACGGTTTTTTATGCACAACGATAATTGTTTGACTCTCCCGTTCTCTAGCTAACATTTTCCTCTCTCTCTCTCTCTCTCTCTCTCTCTCAATGATTAGTGATCCCATCCTAAAACAATCTAAAAAGGAACCATAATCCAGATCATCCATCATCTGACAATGAAATATAGACATTAGTAAGTGGCTTAATTGGTAGAACATCCGGTTCCAGTTGATAGAACATCCAACTCGTTTGAGTGTGTACCCATGTTTGAGTTTCTCCTCCTCGGATTGCGAATATATATATATATAAATCATCTGACAAGGAGATTGAGTTACTTTCATAATATTTAAAGGCAAAATTTTAATGCAGCAGCCATTAAAGTATAACAAACAAGCCTAAATCCAAGGAATATTTACCAATAGACTAAAAAGACAATGTGACATAAAAGAAGGCAACACCACTTACAATTACCATTAAGAAAACAATTATAATCAAGTTTTACAACCACTCAACACCTTAGATGACCAATAAATTCAGTTCTTAACTGTTCCAGCAAGCATAAATGCCTTGTAGATGACAGACCTGACCAATTCAGACCCACCCCAAGCACTCTCAAACTCTTTAACCACTGCTTCTGGCAACAAATCCACGCCTCTTTCCTTAGCTGTAGGAACAGCTGACCACGACCTCAACATCCCCAAAAACCCATGAAATGACAGTTCTTTTGGTATATCCAGTGGCAGCGGTTTCCCCTCGGAACCCAAGCCTATGCTCTCGAAAGGAAATGCAAGCGTTCGGTAGCCATCGAATACGTGCTGAATGCTGGGGTTCCAGAAGGGAATGGTAGTGTCATGGAAGCGCTTCATTACAGGATCAAATGTCGGGCTGACTTCAATGTCATTGTAGCACCAAACAGCTAGTGCGCCCCCTGGCTGCCGTAGGAGGCGAGTAACAATGGAGTAGAATCTTGGGAGGTCAAACCAGTGCACTGCTTGGGCCACTGTTACCAAATCAACCGAGTTCTCACCCCCGATCATGCTCACTAGTTCGTCATCAGACATGGATAACGATGTGTGTAGGTATCGAACTCGAGGATGTGGCATACCACATTTTAATTGGGCTTCACTCACATCAGTAGCAATCACTTGCTCATAGTGCTTGGCAACCTGGTAATAGAACACACGGCATATAATTATAATGGTACTCATCAATCATCATCATCATTGAAATGTTATTTTTGCTCATATTTACTTGCTAAAGACTAAACATTTTGCAAAGTTGTCAATCAACTGGTGGTTTAAAATTTTATTTATTTTACAAAGAAAAAAAGAATATTATTTTATTTTAGTAGAGAAGGTAAGATAAGCAATCATTTCTGGTGATTTACCAGGAGGAAACAAGGATAATCACTAACCTATTTTTCTCTCTCCATTACTTCTCACCATGGGAGAAGGAAAAATAAATAAATAAATACATAAATAAGAGGACTAGGAGGTCCTATTTTCCACCCATTTCTCCTTCTTGTTCTCTAAAAAAACGAAAAAAAAAACTCCCAAACAAGAGATTATTACTCTCCCTCTCCACTTACCTTTCCTCGATCCTCCATTTTCTGCCCCCAAACAGTGTATGAGTTCAAGAAGAAAAAATAAAAAATAAGTACCATTACCCAGCAGCTAAAAGTGCAAAAAAAAATAATACAGTCAGTGAACTAACATTTTTTCCATTTTTCTAAAATAATCTTTCTCCGACAATAAGCATGAAATCTTATTTTAACAAAAAAAAAAAAAAAAAAAGGTCGATGTAAATTGAAATTGGAAATCACATGAACTTGAAAATTAGCTTATTTAACTACATAATCAATTGCACATGACTCTTCTACCAAGAATGAGTTAAGTGGGGAAAAATAGACTTGTAGAAACACCACTTAATTCCACTATACACATTCTCATAACACACGAAACATTATGTGAAATTTGCAGAAAAAATTCCATACCTGTATTGAAAATGAGCAAAGTACATTTGTTTTAACACGGATAAATATATCAAATATTCCATAGACTTTCCTGAATATGTTTCCATGCTTGAAAACATCCAAATTAAACTAAGAGGGTGCATGTAAATTAGATACTCAATCAAGAATTCAATTTAAAATGCAAAATCTCAGTGATAAATATATATAGGCATATATATATATTCTAGAAGTCTATTTGACACTAAAATTGCATCTGGGATTTCAGGTATAGCTCCTCATGTTGGTTCTTCCAACATTAAGATGCATGGAGATGATCCTTGCTTTGCTGAAAAGAAGGGGATAAGTGAAGCATATCATTTCCGAAAACTGTCTGTCGAAAAATTTCTCAAAACAGACTCTGTCTGTAAACTATTACACATAGTAGTTTCTCATATTTTTATCTGCAGCTAACAATGAAAGGATGAAAAAAAAAAAAAAAAAAACAGATGCCTTTTGATAATTTCCATTGTTTTCATATTTAAAATTTCTGGTAGTTAAAACTAGTTTTTGATTCACCCTAATCAATACTGAATATGTATCCAGGACTACAAGTTCTCATTAGAGTTCGGTAATTTTGAGCATATATGATCTTTTACCCCACACACATATATATAACGTTTCAAAAGCATTTATTATCTTCTGGAAGAAAAAATGCCTCGTCTTCAGTCTCAGTAGCAATATAGTTTTTCAAAGTTACCATCGAAATAATCAGGGGCCGACCCAGAAAATTGAACTCTTTTTTTTTTTTTTTTTTTTGGGGGGGGGGGGACTATATGTATAAAATACCCAAAAAAAATAATAATAATAAATAATAAAAATTATTTATGGTCCTATGCACTATGTTTTCTAAAATAAGATTGCAATGTGATTATTGATACTTGATGGATTGGGTTGTACTTTCTAATTTGGTGGTATAATTGGGAGTATGGTTTTATACCATTGGATTGTAATTTTCCAACTTATTTGGTGTGATTTAATTCTAACCATTGATATCTAAGTTTCCATGATAGGAAGGGAGACTTAGATATGCTTGTTTGTAGAGAAGCCGTCCCCTCCTGTTGTTGTTATATATAAGGGTTTTAAAATCCTTATTCAGACCTATCGTATCGACAATTCTCAGAAAGGGGTAAAGAACTCTAATGTTTTGCAGGAACTCACAGAGGATTATATGGATATTCTAAAGGTATATATGCGTTAATTATCAATCAAGTACGAGTCTAAATTACTCTTTGATTAATTAAAGTATTCTTGATTTCTACATGGTTTAATTTGAAATAAAACCCAACAATTGGTATCAAAGCCAAGTTTAATTAGGATTTATATTGTAGAAATCAAGAAGAAAAAAAAAATGAATTACATATTTTTTATTGACAACAATATGATACTAATCGATTTAAGAATTGATTATGCTATCAATATTTAATACATGTAGATTCAGCGATTTAATTCACAGTTTTCATTATTCTGGTGTATACATTGATTGCAATGAACCTTATATTACTTGATGTATGATGAATATCTTAGAAGATAAAAGGAATAAAGGTTCTACCAATTAACAAAGCTTTTCACGTCCCAATTAACTATCTGTTGATGAGGTATATAATGAATATTTTACATATATAAAGTTAGAGCTTATGGATCAGCATGTCTTGAATTGTGTGCACTTATATTCATGTTTCTTAAAAGGTATTAAATTGCATACATACATATATATATATATTATATATATACTTGGATACGTTGGTTGGTATGACGTATATTATCAGGTTGTTTCTTTTGAAACCAAAGTTCTGATTTTGTCAGAATGATTATATATATATGAACAAACTATTGGATTTGAGGTTGAAATTTGATGAATATTTAATTACTATAACATTAATCCATGTTAACATGTACTGAACATAAAACTGCGTGCACAATATTTTTTAAAGTAATCCATGATAAAGTACAGCGACATTGAGAATTTTCTTGTGATCAAATTATAATGAGATTGAGAATCTTAATTTGTCTGCACTAAAATAGAATGATGTTTAATGGTTGATTTAGTGAGAATTATATATTGGTATATGTGAAGTTAAAAGTCTATCCATGTGTATATGAGTTAATGTGTGCATGAAAATAAAACTGTCAAGTTTTGTTTTTCTTCAAAACTAATCGAAAAGATTGGTTTTATATTGCTGAGTTTAATTAAAGGTTTAATTAGAAGTAAGATTGGCATGAAACTGTGACATTGTATATAGTTATCTCAGTGGACATGGCTGTTCAAGAACGCAAATTCTTATGTTTTGCTAATTACTTCTAAGGATTCAAGTTTAATTGTTTAATTTTAGGTTGAAAAATCTATGGGACTTGCGTGCCATAATCAAACAGTATTAACCTAATTGATTTAAGGATTCAAAGGCTTTAAAGTGTTACTAGATATATAATACATGCATCAAGTTTTCATTATTTTCTTTTAATTAAAATATATAAAGAATTGAGATTTTAAATCTTGATAGATATGCATGTTATTAATATATCGTTCACTGTAATTTCTTGATATATGTATGAGGAGGCTTGATTTTATTTGTGTTAGAGCCATTTGTGTTACAGTGAAATTAAATGTTCCATAATTTTGGGTTTGGCTTATGTGCACTAAATAAATAAATAAATATGAACATAAATAAAATGGAACATTTACAATTAAGGTCTTTCCTTGGGGTTTAGGAAGACCGGTAAAGTGATCATTTCAAAGGTGGTAGCCAAAGTGAGTGATGCCTGCCAAAAGGTGACACGCTCACAGAGGTTATTATTATTTTTTTTTTTTTAAATTTTTAAGGCATTGGTCTTATTGAGGTCTCATGTTACACTTACCTACATTAGAGCATTTGTTCTGCCAAAAGGTGATCAATGTCTTAGTGTGGGATAAGTGAGTAGAATATTTGAGAGTGATTGAATTATAACTAAATAACCCTCTTGCCAAAAGGTAGTGGAAGTATTTAGCAATAATTCAAGTATAATCAAATAGGTCTATGTGCGATTTTATCGCAGGTCTAGGAGTAAAGTAAAATCTAAAATTCTGCCAAAAGGTGTTTTTTAGATGGCATTTTATTTATTCCCGCAGGGTGGATAGTTTTGCACATAGTAAAACACTCTGAGAAATTCAGCTTAAAACCCCAAGCACGAATTAAAGTAATAATCCCTAAAGCTGTGACATATTATTTTATATGTTGTTTATGTGGTGTTATTCAATATAACATTTACTCATGTTACAAACGTTTCCGCAATTTAAAAACAGTTCATAGGGATTAAACCATTGAATGGTTAAAATTATATTGCCTAGAAGACAAGTTTTGATATTGTATTGGGTTTCTTGGACTACGAGTCTGTGCTTTTTGAGGAAGAAACCCATATGCCTAGTGCAGAGTCTTCTTAGGTAGAAAAGTTGTTGCATTTTTAGGTGGACTAAAGGTACTACGATGCCATTAGGTTAATTTATGCTTCTGTCGGTGATACTATTCAGGGTGGTATTCTAGTTTTGATACTGTCAAGGAGCTTCTTGATTTGATCAAGAAAGAATTAATAAGTATTAAGAAACAACTACAATACTATTATCTGACATGGATTATGTTAGTGAGATATGATGGCAATGGTTCAGTGAGGGAGTATATCTATAAGATGTGCAAGCTGGTTAATAATCTAAGGTAGTAGAGAATCATATTTGCTAATAATGAAGTTAATTAGTCCACATGGTGATTTATTCTCTGCTTAGGTTTTTTCAGCTTTTTAAGGTGAATTATAATTCACAAGAAGTTAAATGTGGCATTAACCAGCTGTTAGCATTTTGTGTTATTGAAGGGGAACGACTCAAGGGTGTTAAAACTGAGTCAGCTTATCTTGCGGTGATAGTAAGAATAGTTTCAAGAAGAAACTAGGCGACAAGAAAGTGTATAAGGCTAATAAAGAAAGGCAGAACAATACATGAAAAGACATTGATCATAGAATGATCAATGTTAGTTCTATAGAAATAATAGGGCATCAAAAGAAAAGGTTATTGTGGAAAAAAGAACAACAAAGCAGGAAAGAAAATTGTCATGTTAATTTTTTAGCCTAACTTGGTAAAAGTATAGGTATAAACATGGTGGATGGATTCGGGTGTGATCCTACTTGTTTCTTGTTTTCTATAGACTCGATACCTTTCAAATAAAATCGTGATTTGGTTAGAGATGATTCATCTATGCTATGCATAGGATATTGGGGAATGTCTCTTAAAAGAGACTTGAACGCTTGGTCAAGGATGAGATTATTGGGCCACAAATTTTATGCGTTGGTTGTGTCTAAGGACAGATGCTAGGAAACGCAATTTTGAGGCTAGTCGGTTATTGGGTCGTTTGAACTATATTTATACCAACATTTGTGGTTCATTTCTGATTGTAGCTTGTTTGCGGCAAAGGTATTTCTTTATTTTCATTGATGGGTTCTCAAGGTATGATTGTGTACTTAATCCACTTGAAGTCCGAAGCACTTGGTGTGTGTAAAATCTACTGGACTAAAGTTGAAAGTAGTTGGTATAAAGATTATGGTTTTAAGATCGGACTAAGGTGGTGAATTTAAATGGGAGAATGGTAAGGAGGGTGTAAATCGTAGTACTTTCAGTACATACTTAAGGAGCAGTGCATTGTGCCACAGTACACCCCTCCTAGTTTTCTTGAACAGAATAAAGTTGCAGAAAATAGAAAGTGTAGGAATGTCTTATAGAGACAGAGTTATATAATGCAGATATCAAGGAGCTTGATACTCACACTATCAATGATTATCTTATTGGGTGTCTTGATAGATTAAAGGATTGAAGATTTTTATTGCCCAGTATACCTATGGAGATTATTGATACATATCATATAAATTTGATGAGAATGGCGAATCCGTGGGAGTTTAGAATACTGTAGTTTCTTTTTTGCAGAGGAGCAACTTTCAGTATCTATTACATTTTATTTCAGACTTTATTCCACTTTCTTTAGTGATTTTATTTATAATTCCTATTTCACTTTTTCAGCTATTCCCACTCATTTAGTTATTTCTCATTTGCAGTCTTTTCTTTCAGTTTCCAATCTAGTTCTTAAGCATGTTTAACTTAGGAGATCTTCTAGAACATGGAATTATGCTGTAGTTGGTGATTTTGAGGTGTCTGATGGATATAAGACAAATTTGATGGCCAAGTGCTTAAGCAAAAGTTAAGTGTTGATTTCTTTTGAGATTTTTCTCCAGTTTCATTAAAGGCCTCTTTAAGAGTCATTATTTCATTATCACTCATTTATGGCTTAAGCAAGTTTTACAACAGTAGTATCCAAATTTTGATACAGTGGTTACTAATTGTAGATTCAAAGAGAATGTTATGGATAAATGCATGTACCTCAAGTTCAGTGGGAGTCATTTTTGGTCTTTCTTGTCCTATATGTTGATGATATTTTGCAAGATAGCAATGACATTCATGTGATACATGACATTAAGAATTTTAATTAAAGTTTTTGACATGAAGGACATGAAGCAAAGTCTGTCCATGGCATTAGGATCCATAAAGATCACGCTACTGGAATACTTGGACTTTCTCTAAAGGTTTATATTAATTAAGTATATGGAAACAATTTAAGGGTGACCAAGCGTAGTAAGCCCATTGACATAAAGTACATTTTCAAGCATGAAAAAGTTAAGGTTTAAGTACTATGATTGTTGCAAATCCTCTTACTAAAGTCTTCAGCCAAAGATAATAAAGTATTTAAAGAGCACGTGATTCGGATAGGTGTTCGAGAGTTATTATGTTATGATGTCTGGTATTTCTTTTGTATATGCTACATTGCAGTTAGTTTCTTTACGCTTTGTGGTGACAGTTATTTTTTCCTCCAGTTTACACCTTATGGTGATAGTTATTTACATCCAAAATAAAGTTATAATGTATCATTATTATTATCTTGATATATATGGTTTATGCACGTGCTATTCTGTTTGCCTGGGAGTGGTATTTCACTCATGAAGTTGTTTGGGTTAGATGTAAGATTGGCACCACATCGGTAAGTCCAAAATAATTATTAAAGGTTGTCTGAGAGTGATATTTCACTTATACGGTTGTTTGGGCTAGATATGAGATTGATACCATATCAGTAAATTCAAATATAAGATTTGTCTGGGAGTGATACTTCACTCATGAGGTTGTTTGGACTAAATGTGAGATTGACACTACATTGGTAAACCAAACATAAATATTAAAGTTTGCATGTGGGAGTATTACACACTCCATGAAGATAGCTTGGGCTAGATATGGGATTGGCGCCATATCGGTAAACCCTCACACAGAACAGAATGTTGGCGGTTTGCTGTAATATGTTCAAGTGACATACCGCGATGGTATGAAGCACGACGGATAGTGAGGTGTGCGTTTAGACCACATGCAGTTTGCACATCTCATGAAATACAGTAAAACCACTATATTTGCTTGAATCCTAGATGGAATCGGTTTTGAGATCATGGAACTGTTTAAACTAACATATTACTTGTCTACGCATTCATGATCCACTATTGAGGAAGTCTATGGAGAAGAGTGTTCTAAAGTATTAATCCATCAATTTCAAAAATTGTATTTTTATAAAACAAATTGAGTAGCCACTCGTCTTTTCTAAAGTGTGTTGCAATCCATAGTGCCATTTTTTTTTATAAAACTTGGAATGCATGGACCAAGTGGGAAATTGTTGGAAATTTATATATATATAAATAATAAAAATTATTTATGGTCCTATGCACTACATTTTCTAAAATAGGATTGCAATGTGATTATTGATACTTGATGGATTGGGTTGTACTTTCCAATTTGGTGGTCTAATTGGGAGTATGGTTTTATACCATTGGATTGTGGTTTTCCAACTTATTTGGTATAATTTAATTATAACCATTGATATCTAAGTTTCTATGATAGGAAGGGAGACTTAGATATGCTTCTTTGTAGAGAAGTTGTCCCCCTATATTGTTGTTATATATAAGGGTTTTAAAATCATTATTCAAACCTATCGTATCGACAATTCTCAGAAGGGGGTAAAGCGCTCTAATGTTTTGCAGGAACTCACAGAGGATTACATGGATATTCTAAAGGTATATATGCGTTAATCATCAATCAGGTACGAGTCTAAATTACTCTTTAATTAATTAAAGTATTCTTGATTTCTGCATGGTTTAATTTGAAATAAAACCCAACAAACAATTGCCCCCACTGGATTACGGGTAGGTTAAAACAACAACAACAACAACAACAGACAGAAGAAGAGCCTCACCATTGTCAAATTACGTAATGTTCCATGGAGAGAATTTAGAAAACAAACTCATGTCATATGGGCCATCAAAACCTCCAGACAGTCATACCATAGACCTATTACCCATATTGCAGTTTATGGGTAGAAAAATAGAGCTGTCTGATAGTATAATCCAACTGCTCGAACATTAATTGGAGATGAAAAAAATCATCATCATCCTTGCCTTAATCGCATATGAATGGAATCGGTTACATGACTTCTCTTTTTGCATCCTTTTCTGTTACAAACCATCTCTCCTATAATATTAGACTTTTTAAAATCATTTCTATATCGTTCTTTTACCTCCTACCTTCTATGCCAATTAGTATCCAACTTCTCACAGGCGCATCTATAGATCTTCTTTGAACATGTTTGTACCACCAAAGTCTATTTTCTCATATATTACTACTAATAGTAATAGGTGTCACTCACAATTTTTGCCATTAATAACTTTATTTTTTCTAGTCATTCCTAGCATTCACCTTACATCCTTTTTTCCGCAATATGAAGTTGTTGTCCATGTTTCTTTTTTAAAGCTCAACACTTCAAACCACATAAAATAGTTGGCCTATTCGATTATTATTTTTTTTTTTTCTTTTTAATAATGGTCACTTTGGCTGATCTTTTGGTTTTGAAGAGTGATTAATTATTATATTATCAATATCCAAATCTTTACTAAATTTACAATCCATATATTCAGTGTTAGTCTTAGTAATTCAAAAATATATATTCTAACGCGTTTCTCCACCATTCTAATTTCACTCTTAAATTTTTTCAAGTGTCCAATAACTCTGTCATTGGCAAACAACATGCACTTACAAAATGTCTACTTGTATGTTATCTAATTGCATATGAAAAAATAAACTAAATAAAAATCACATAACAGAATCACACTAATCATCAAACGCATCTGCTCACCAAATTCAGCAAACCCATCACTACCCTTTTGCCAACGCCTTTGTAGCCCATGTTTAAGTAATTTAGAGCGGTAATGAATAAAACCGTATTGTGGTTGTGGATGCAGGGCAAAAAAAAAAACACACACACGAAAGGATCTAGCGGGTGAGAACTTGGGCCCTGGTGCCCCATAAAGTTGTGGTGTGACACGGCTTGTGGGATATTCCGTGCACTCTAAGGAGGTGGATTAGTCGCACCCACTACCTCCTCTGTGAAACAAAATAATAATAAAAAAATAAAAAGAACAAACTTAAAATTGGGGGGCCGTGGTATGGTATGATCATAATTAAATGAGATGATTCAAAATCAAATAACTAATCAACACAAGGATTTGGGGAACAAATGGTAGGAGTAGGACCCATAAATTGATGCAAGAAATTATTGCTTCCAAGATAAAAACTATGATTTGACAGAGAGAAAGACTTACACCGAGAGCGGCTTGGCCGTTACCAGTACCGACATCCCAAGCAAGAGTGTGATGAATGGTCCGATTGGCCAACATTGAATACCATTCACTCGGATAATTTGGTCGACTATCCACATAGATCTCCGCTTGCTTATCGAACAATCCCGCCATTACTATCTGCTTCTCTCTCCTCTCTCTCTCTATAAAAGTTTAGAAGACCAGCCCTGCAGTTGCACAAAGTCTTTAAATTTCTATATAAGTATATATATATATATATATATGTCCGAGTTCGAATCGTGCACGAATTTTTTTTAACTCAAATGACATAGGGCCCAGTGTTTCCGTGATATATTATTTTATAGCCCACAGTATTTTTTTTAGAATGATTGTCCCACGTTAAGCTCACATGAAAAAAAAAAAAAAAAAACAAAACAAAACAAAATTTATACATAATTATTTGTGCTTAATGGTTGACAGATGCACTTCGATTTTTTTTTTTTTTTTTTTTCTTTTGCATTGAAGATGGTTCTTCTCGTTTCTTTTATGTTATGTTGGACTCAATGAAATTAGATTTCAATTTAAATCAGTGAAATTAGAAAAATTTTAATTATAACTTTTAACTAATTTTTTTTTATCTAATTTCACCAATTTTAATTTTAAAATTTTAATTCTATGCAACCAAGCAGATGTAAAGCACTTAATTTTTTTTTTATACCATATTGTTTATTGTTTTTAATAAAAACATCACATTCATAATCAAATATGCCCTCAAGACTTGCTAAAATTTTCCTTTGCTAATTGTCTGAAGACTCCAAACGTATTGTTTTTTCTTTCTGTTGGTAGTTGCTATTTTTTACTCCAGAGAAAAGAGAAGTGTGATTGCAGGGACTTTCGTGGTTAGAGTCCCCACATAAATTAATACAAAACGTAACGAGAACAGTTGCAAGCAAGCTATAAGAAATGACAAAAAAATTCAAAAAAAGAAAAAGAAAAGAAAAGTAGAGGACACGATGGGACTTTAAAATGAAATTGATTTCAAGGTTTGTAATTGTGGATGTTTGTTGAAAGTAAATTATATGAGCACTAAAAAACGCAGGGATAATTTCTGCATTCTTAAATAGGGAAAAATGCAAAAAGAATCCCTAAACTATTGAAGAATTAATAACTAATCCCCTGAACTACTAAAATTGCAACTAACCCTCTAAATCATGCATATTTGCTACAAATAGCTCCATTTGACACTGTTCCGGTCGGATCCGTCACTGTTCCGATCGGAGCGTACCGTTAAAGTGATCACATGACACTCACATGACATATACTATAATTTTAATGATCATAATACCCTCGTAGGCATGAAAAGACACTAATGCCCCTATTATATATTAAACCCAAAATCTTTTTGAAAACGCCAAACACAACCTTATATGTCTGTAATATGTATATATATATAAATTACTGTTATCTTCTGTTCAACCCTCTTGTCTCCAAGAACCAGTCTACGGGAAGGGCACCGACAAGTTCTCCACGACGGTGTGCTCGCTTTTGTAGCTCTCGCACAACCAAGCACAAACCAATCAATCATCTTCCAGAGCGTAGATCCTCTTTCCCAAGTGTTATCATACCTTCTTCCGCTTCTCGCTTTCTCCATCATTGACGTCATGGTCCTCTTCCGAGTGAATGACGGCTGATCACATCTTCTTTGCCCTCTCCATCGCTGCTGATCTCTCCTTCATGGTGGTCGTAGGCTTTTGAATTTTGCCGACATGGTGGCGATTGGAAGCGAGCGCAGGAGTGGTTGTTCAATATGCTCGATGAGTGAAATTCTGTTGGCTTTGCTTTGAGAAACTCTTCTGTAATTTCTATGGTTTTTGAAATCACAGCTTCTGAATTTTTTTTTTTTCCGCGATAAAATTTACCCTTATTTCAACATCATACGTCTTTGTTTTTCCCCAAATTTTTGTTTATAAATGAAAGATATCTTAATTCTGAACAAGACTAAAAATCCAAATGCTAATCTAGCCAAAATTATGGAATTTTCATTTCAATTACTGCAATTCCATGGGACACCTACCTTGGTCTTATATATGTGTGTGTGTGTGTGTGTGTGTGTACAAAATCCAAAGGAAAAGAAAAGGGAAAAGGGAAACCATTTACAAATCTTGGATTATATAAAAATTGGAAATTTTTAGGCAGAAGAGAAGCCATTAATGGCTGCATGACCAAATTGGCTTTTAGGTTCCAAAACCCACTTGACCAGCACAAATTTCTTCTTGATCCCAGATGAGCAATTAATCCTACGAGCTAACCGAGTAACACAAGAAAACAAACCAATCTCTTCCCCTCCACCACCAATTTTTGTTAAATTCTTGACCTCATCTCATACTCCTCTGCAACTAACATAGCAATACCTCACACTTTCAAAAACTGCTACTAGATTATTACTGCTGAAGATAAAGTTAGCTTTGTTGTATTGATTGGGTTATGAAATTTCCAAATGCCACATCATTAAGTTAAGGATATAACTCTCAAAACCACTTAGTATTAAGAAAGGGTAATTTTGTCTTTTATCATCTCCGACCAAGTCAACTGATGGAATGCAACAAATCAATAGTTTGGGAGTTATTGTAACAAATTAATAATTTAGGGGAATTTCTTGTAATTCAAAGGGATTTGTTGTAATATGTTAATAATTCAAGAGAGTTTATTACATTTTACCAATATGGTGTTATAAATATTGAGTATTTTAAAATAATAATATATATAACAATCATTATTGTTATCTTTATTTGAGAGATAAGCAAGTTTTGACTATTAAGTTTTTTTAGTAGTTGCCCACGTTCACATGATTAGGGCTCTCGCTGCTTATTGAGAATCTGTATGTAGTTGGGAATAATATCCCACGAAAAATCTGTTATTCCTTATATTGTATAAATAAACGATGTGGTTTTGCCTAACACACAGCAAATTTTTACTTATGTAATTACTCTTTTTATATAACCTATAAAAAATTTCATTTCTTAGAACACCACAACAAGCTTAAGTCTTACACAAACCAAACCAAATGCATGAAATAGGTCACAAGTTTTTGATGAAATTCCACAACCACAATGGAATGACCCGGTTATTTTCCTCCCTTTCCTTTTCTCAGATTTTCACGGATATTTTTTTGCCGTTGATATTTTCCTTTCTGAGTTCAGGTTCTCGTCACTTAGTGTCATCTTGAGTACTCGGGAATAGTTTCCGAGACTCTTTTCCTTAAATTGACGACTTCCTTTAAGAACCGAGTCATTTTCACATTTTCACTTTTGTGACACTATTCACTTTTCATCTTGTTCCCGTTTGTCACTTTGTTGGCACAACCTCACTTTTCGTGTTCGGATTTGATTCTGATTTTGCATGCATCCACAATATTTAAATTCTATGCTATGTGCATTTTTACTTTTGTAGAAAAACATGCTAGTTGTGTACTTTCTTCCTTAGGGGTGTGGATGCACACTCCTTTAGAATTTTCTTTCTTTTGGGGTCATTTGTGTAATTACTGTAAGTAATTATTTTTCGTCTTAGGGACCAATTTGCTATTTAATTTGGAAGATAATTTTAAAAAGGACCTTTTTGCAATTTTTGAAAAGTGTGACAAGTGTCACACTCTCATTGGTCCACTTGTTGACATTTGTGTAGGGAAACTTTGATGTTTTGGATGATGACATGTGGAGGGTGGAGATTCAACCACTTATTGACCTAGGATAGGTGCACTTGTTGGCTTGGATGGTTAACAAGTGTAGGCTTATGATTAAGCCTACAATGGATACTTGGATGAGTGACAAGTGTATGTTCCAAATTAAGTCTTACAATTATTTTTGGACTACTTTGGAATTATGTTATTAAAGAAGGATTTTTGTGCAATTGACCAAACTTATGTGTGTTGACCTTGGTGTAAGACCAAATAATGAGTGGAGAATTTCTATTTCCTCCACTCACATTCTTTCACACTTGATTTTATTATTTCCCTTTCTTGTAAAAAAAACCATAGCCTCTATGGATGGAGCTTGAAGTCTTAGGCCTTGACCTTGTTTTTTGAGAGTCTTCCATTGATTTCCAAGCTTAACCTTGGGAATACTTTTTGTTCCCTTCATCCTCCTCTTCATAACCCTTGAAGGGTTTGCCATTTTGTGTTGAGTTGCCTTGGATTTTAGAGAGACACTTCTTTAGTGAGGTAAGGGGTGTTATAATTTATTTTCTAAGTGGTTTTACTTACTTTTGTATAAAATATAAGTTGTATGCATGTCTTTTGTGAATTTGAGAAATTAATGATGTATCATAGTTTGCATATAACTCATTTTAGACTTAGTATATGGCATGGCTATGACTTGATTTTTGTTGTATATTAAATTGGGATGATTTAAATGAGTTTTCAAATCTAGAGATTTAATGAATTTAATTTGATTTAAATTCTAGTTAATTGTGTTTTACTTGTATTCCATTTTAGACTTGATATATGGTATGACCATGACTTAGTGCTTGTTATATATTAATTTGGGGTCATTTGGATAATTTTTGAAATCTAGAGATTTAATTAATTTAAATTAACTAAATTCTATTTGATGACATCTTGCTTATCTTGCACTTTTGACTTGATATGTAATGACCATGCTATGTTACTTAACATATATTAATTTGAGGTTATTTGGAATTGATTTAAAATCTAGAGAATTTAATTATTTTGTTTAATTAAATTCTATCTAATGGCTCCATGGATCTATTGGTGTTTTAGAAATTGTTTCTATATTCAAATTATGGACTTGGACTTGTTGTGTATTCACTTTGTTATGTTTTGAGCATTAGATAACATTATTGTTATATCTATATTCATGAGAACATGTTTTCTTTATGGGATATATTATTGCCTTGTGTAATGAATTGCACACTTTGTAATTGACATTATATATGCCATTTTAGAATTTAAACTCTAAGGCATGTAA